AATACTCTACATTTTTTTAAAATACCCATTAAGAGAGATAGTCACCATAGTCCACTAAAAATACTGTATGTCTTTAACACTGTCTAGATACATATTTATATTATATCCTATTGCAGTCAATAATGTGCATTTAAAGGCTTCAAAGTACAGATTATGAAAATGTGTATTTAAACAGTTCTGAAATGCATATTTACATAATTGACTGTAATTTATTTAGAAAGCTATTGCAAACCTTTGTGTTCACTCTCACATGGTTCGATAGGGATCTTTATGTTTTTCTCTAATATTGTAATTTAATATGCATAAGAAAATGTTAGGATTATCAGTCCTGTACTTCCTAAAGTTTTGGGGCACAACTTTCTATTGACTTCTTTAGAGATAAATTTAAGTTAAAATGTTGTTAAAATTTAAGTTAAAATCTTACAAAAAGGTAAAATAAAACAAATTTGTACTGCATTTCTAATTCTTTCTTGATACCATACTGATTGTTCAGAGGATTACGATATATACTTTACGTCTTATCTATTCCAAGAAAACAAACTCATTATAAGAATATTCAACATGATCATGAACTTCCTGACTACAAGTAATAAATATGTCATACAGCTCAGAGTATGCAGACACATCTCCACATTAGACACCTGATTTAGAGCCCAATTCTGCTCTAGGAAGAAACGTTCCTCATACTTTGAGATATTAGAAAGCTAGCTCACATACACAGTGTGATGGTCTTGTATGTGTCCCCTACTGCATTCATTTTATGTTTATGAAGTCAAGAGAGAAACAGCAGCCACATAAATGGCCTAAAAATTGCTTTGTCACTTTCACCTCAACCAAAGTACATACTGCAGTATCTTCACTTTTTTCCAACAAGTCACCCTTTTGCAAGTATTGTATTGTGTTTATTAAACCTACTTTTCAATAAATCTACAACATGATTGCATAAACCTTCTGTGTGTGTTTTGTTTATACTTTCCAATAACTTACGATTCCATCACTAACTTCCATTAAATCTGCTAGAAGAGTGGATATGTAAGATAATTTTACATTTTGTGAAAATCAGCAGGAGGCAGAGAAAGACTACCCTGTACATGCCTTGAGGCATGAAAGGTTAAGCAAACACCATATTAGACTGCAGAGATTCAAAGACAGGAGGAGGGGAAGTTACTGTCTAAATGTCCCCCAAAACTTGATTGACTTTGGCAACAAAGTCAATCGGTCACAAGACATGAGCGTAGGAAACTTGGCTTCCTGAGTTCTGGTACTCATGGAGTTTACTTTTTTAATGGAAAAATTTGGAACAGATAATCAAATTCAATTTAATTACCTACTGTTCAGAATCCCATCACAATTTAAAGTCAACACTCCACCTTCTCCTTCATGTAATTACTACCCAGGCAAATTAGAGGGACAGTATAAGAATTTTAGTCATCGAAACAACTTGGGACAATAGGTGCTTGCTACAAATACAAAAGCGGTATACAGATCATAGAATGCTTTGGGTTGGAAGGGATCTTTGAAGATCATCTAGTCCTGCCACAGGCAGGGACATCTTTCACTAGATCAGGTTGCTCAAAGCCACATCCAACCTGACCTTGAACACTTCCAATGATGGGGCATCCACAACTTCTCTGGGAAACCCGTTCCAGCAGCTCATCACCCTCATCGTAAAAAATTTCTTCCTTATGTCCAACCTAAATCTACCCTCTTTCAGTTTAAAACCATTGCCCCTTGTCCTGTCAATACAGGCCTTGGTAAAAAAAAGTCTTTCTGCATCTTTCTTATAAACCCCCTTTATATATTGAAAGGCCGCAACAAGATCTCCCCAGAGTCTTCTTGTCTCCAGGCTGAACAACCCCAACTCTCTCAGTCTTTCTTCATAGGAGAGGTGTTCCAGCCCTCTGACCAGTTTTGTGGCCCTCCTCTGGACCCGCTCAAACAGGTCCATGTCTTTCTTGTGCTGGGGGCTCCGGAGCTGGATACAGTACTCCAGGTGGGCTCTCACCAGAGCAGAATACAGGGGGGAAATCACTTCCCTCCACCTGCTGGCCATGCTTCTTTTTGATTGGCCTTCTGGGCTGCGAGCACACATCGCCAGGTCACATCCAATTTTTCATCCACCGGTACCCCCATGTCCTTCTTGGCAGGGCTGCTCTCAAACCATTCATCTCCCAGCCTGCACTGATACTGGGGATTGCCCCAACCCAGGTGCAGGGCCTTGCACTTGGCCTTGTTGAACTTCATGAGGTTCGCACGGGTCCAACTCCTCGAGCCCGTCGAGGCCCCTCTGGATGGCATCCCTTCCCTGTAGCAAATCAACCGCACCACTCAGCTTGGTGGTGTCTGCAAACTTGCTGTGGGTGCACTCGATCCCACTGTCTATTGTTGTTGATGAAGATATTAAATAGCATTGGTCCCAATACATACACCACTCATTGCTGGTTTCCACTTGGATATTGAACTAATGACTGTAACTCTTGGGACAAGGACGTCGTGGAGGACATTACCACAGGACCAGAGAAAAGATGAAGCAGCATGCTAAGAGAGAAGTTTCCCACTCAGAGAGACCTATCTGCAGTAATAAATAACAGGAAACATACTACAAAGTGCTGCTTTTAAAACTCTCTCTCTGTTTTTCTCCCCAGTCCCCTGAATTTATCCCACAGTGAATTGTTTTATCTAAAACCAGGATGTTAGCAAAATCAGACATTGCTGAAATTCTGTACCTAGGTTCAGCAGATGTGCTCAAAGAGTAAATGATTTATCCTACCTAAAACATGCACTGCAAAGCCTAGACAAAGTGGACCAAATTTACACCAGAGGAAGAAAGGTTTAAACCATCTGAATCTGAGTTTCACCTACTTCTAACACTTCCGGGTATATTCAAATGTGAATAAAGTGTTAAATCAAGTTTCAACTTTAATATGAATGTCACCCACTGGTAAGAAAGTTGAACCTCAGAAGGTGAAATGAATTACATAACATGATACACAAGGATTTACCAGCAGGAGCTAAGGAGGCTTTATCTGCAGCAGTGTCACAGCCAATAGCTTCCACATCATATGACACTGCTACAGCTAAATAGCCCATTTTCCTTAGATTGAGGATGTCCTTCCTGCATGGTACATATGTGTAACTGGATGAAATTAAAAAAGGGAAATGCAGGCCAAGCTACAAGAAATAACATATCTTGACAGAAAGTTTCGTAGTTCATCAAAAGCTCTTCCAAGGGAAACAGAAGAACCTCCTCCACTTGGGAAAATAAACAAATAGAATTCTTTTTAGTAAAAAAAGTGACACGATCACTTCACAGCAGTAACTAGGAATCCCAGTTATAGACTCAAGTTTTGGTTGCACCCACTCCTGGCAAAAGAAATCATAGGAAAGTAGTTCTTCCTAGAGAAGATCTAAATATGCAGATATAAAAAAGCAAGCTAGCTAAATTTGAGTTGAAAGTAATAAAATTTGGCACTTCATATACTTCCTCTCAATGATGTTTCTTAAAATAGTGATAAAAGCTTTCTTTAAAGACAACATCATCATCCCTTTGGACTTCAGTGATTTGTAAGCTAACAACTGAACTACAGTTCATATAGGAATTACTTATGGTACAGCCACTGCTAAGAGTCTGATTCTGCAATGAAGTAAAAAAGAATATTACCATTTATTTCAACAGTCACATGACAGCCTTTACTACTGCAGTTACATGAAAGAAAATACTACTTTGGTTAAAAAATAAAGATCCCATGACCTCAAAAATCAGCTACAATGAGAAAAGGAAATAATGAGTAATTTGCCTCCTTAGCTTGAGTGGCAACCTTCCTGTTGGGAAAGAACTTTGTTTTTTCTCATTTGGAAGTCCCCTGCTAGAGAGAGAGGCCTCGATAAAGTCAATGTCATTGTTCTTGACAAATCCTTCGTGTTTAACCCTTTTTAAGGAAAAACTTGATGTAATTCCTGGAGCCAGCTTACAGCTACCCCAATGAAGACTGAACTTAAGGAACCACTACGAAGCTTGTTTTCGAAGATGAACTTACAATCCTTCTCACACATGCATGAAGACAGACAACGCAGCTAAAAGTGAGAGAGCTTAAGAGGAACAAGCCTCAAAATGCCTATGGGCTTATCAAAACTTTTTACACAGCCATATTCACACTACCAGTCAACCATTCTGTCCGGTACCTTGGGCTTTCCGCAGTCAGTCTAACTCTAATAACCAGTCATCTGATAGGATACTTGTTACCTCAAAGAGAAATCTGAGGTAGTTACAAAGCTGTTCATGGAGCCTAACTCCAGCTGTCAACCATGGGCTTGACTCACCTCTTCCAAAGAATCAGATTAATGCCACAAGTTAAAAGACCAAAACTTTTGAGAAGAATTTGCCTTTGTCATTTATAAATGCTGAAACTCTGAGGAATCCTTGAGATTCCAAGGAGAGAGGTTTAGGACACCTATACCTCTGAAAAATACACCTGTGGGCTAATAAATAACCAGTTACTTGGCAGAAACAACAAAGTCAAGAGAATAACTATTACAGCAACCTAATTTAAAAGGGAAACCATATTGTATATGCTGAATTTGGAAATGCTGCACTTTTGTTAAGTCTTTAGCATTATGTGATCTAACAGGGAGAACAAATCTGAATTCAAAACTTGCTTCCCAATGCAAAACTAGAGCAATTACTCAAGATTTCTGCAAATGTGGTAACACAATACACACTATCACCAACAAAATCCACATATGCAAATGAGATAAAAGGAAGTAAACACACTGATGACATGAAACAGCTAAAATAGCAAAAATTCTAGTCAGAATAATTCTTCAGCACTACAAATTGATTACAGATACATTGCCCTCCTCCCTCAAGTTCAATAACTAAAGGATCACCCTTTTTTACCCGAGTAACATGCTTTGATAAATGAAGTTAAAAAATTATTGTATTATGACAACACTCGGTACTTCCTGTCATTACTTTCTTACCAGAGTGTTCTTGCTTACAAATGGCAAGTGAAGAAGCATACGTAGCACCTATTGAACTCTATTCAAAAGGTATTTTCCCTTCCTGAATACTGTATTCCTGCTCTTCTTTCAGAAGAATATTTCCATGCCTACCTTTCTACCATCAGTGCTGAATATCTATGGTCCTAGGCCTACTCCCTCTGCAGTAACCTGCAAAACCATTTGAATCCCATAGGAGTAGGAACAGGTTCTCTCAGAAGTTAAATAACTACAGACTCGCCTATTTAGATTTCACCTTTGAAACACCCTAATTTCTTTCTGGCCTGTTTTCCCTCCCTAAAGGCTTTTTTTCCTTTTCCTTTTCGGGAGGAAGACAAGCTGTGAATTTTCCTTTAGCCACATCAAGGTTCAGACCATAGAGGTGAATTATAAAATAGAGTTTTCCAAGTTGTAAACATGCCACACAGCATGCCTGTGATATCAAGGCAAAGGCTGCTTTACCGAGCCATTTTTGCCCATTTGCACAACTCAGCCAATTACAGGCAGCCTTTGGGACTCACAGAAAAGAAGCCTTGTTTCTAAGGGGGTTTGCTCATTCTGCAGATCTGTTTTGCCATGGAAATCTCGCGCACATTGGAAGAGGAAATCGGTTTTGTAGCGACACCTTCAAACAGGCTAAGAAGCTTTGCAAACCCCGTGTCCTCTGTCGCAATTATATTAGCTTCCAAGGAGCAATTAAAGCAGAGCTCGGGCACCGGGATGAAGTTCTGCCCCCGGTGACCTTCCCCGACGCGCTAGCTGGCAGGATCCAGTCAGGGAGCGGAGCTCGCTTAGTCCGGGTACCCCGGCTGCGGAGCTCCCAGTCCCTACGCCCAAAACACCAGCACCCCACAAGTACCACCAGCACAGCGGGCTCCCGCCTCCCGGCCCCGGTACCACGGCCCCCCCACGGCCCGCGGGTAAGCAGCCCCCAGCCCCACACACCGGTC